TTTCCAACTGAGCAGACTCCCCGGACTTCGGCGATGAGGGTAACTTCTCCTGCACCTCTTCTTGAACGGCGTTATGCGGCAATTCAACCAACGCTACCTCAGTTCCAGCCGCATCAGGTTCCGGCTCCGCCTGGTTAATCGCGACCGCATTCACAACTGGTGGCACCTCGGTAGCGGTCGCCTCTTGTAAAGACCTCGGGCTTCCCGGAATAGCAGCCGAAGTCGCGCTCGACCCTACTTCGGTCGATTTTTTATCAGAATTCTTTTGACCAGCAGTTCTCTTCACCAAGGCGCGAACTAAGTCCCTCCTCATGATGTTGTTTAAACGCAAATCTCGACTTTTGCCAAACTTGGATTGCAAATCCTTGTTAGGATATTTACGCCTGAACTCCTTAGCCTCCTTGACTGTATTATAGCCCAGGAATCCGAGGAGCGGATAGTATACTGCATTTAAATATAAAACAATTAGAATTATTCACAACTGGTCGACATACATAGAAATGCTGGTAAAGCCAACAGCTATGGAAGGTTCATTACCGGGGTCAAACTTGACAGTAGAAACTCCAGGAGACAAACCAGCAGCTTCAAGCTTCGGATCCACCACAAGCTTACGATAATCTCGTACCTCCTTATCTAGGCCGGCGAGTGTAATTAGTTTCCCACCGAACTCAGGACTCAACTTCGGCTCCTTCTGCTTGGTCTCTTTTTCTACAAAGGGCAAAAGTTCCGACCTGTTAGTACACAGAACAAGACAAAATCAGAAAGATATATCCGAATTGAAAAAGGAAATAAACTCACTTGCTCCAGAATGAATTAACATCGGAATCGTCATCCCGTCAATCCGAGGTTCATGGAAGAAGCTCTCGGATTGCCACTCTCCCCTAATCCATAACCACTCTTCCTGGAATCCATGGAGAGTTTCTGGGATATCGGTTATTATCTCACCGACTTTTAAACCATGTTGTGGCTTCGCCCCGGCAAAGAAACAGCACGACGATTCCGCCACATGCCTCCTCGGACTTTTCTTAAATGCAAAGATGCTCCTAATTTCCTCACACGATGGCAACCCCTCACCCTGCTCGTGCAGCAACACCATCAGACCGATTATCTTCTTCCAACTATTAGGAGTAATCTGACACAGCGGTAATCCCCAACTCCGAAGATACTCCGTGATCAAGTTCGGCAACCGGAATCTTAATCCCGACCTCAGACTCTCAACGAAAACTCCAACACACCCCGGAGGAGGACTGGTTATTCTCTCCCCCGAATATGGAGCAAAAATTCTCACCGAGGATGGGATCCGAATCTGCTCCCGAAGCATCACCACATCAGCATCAGTCAAAATGCTTGGCTCGCCTTCAAAATCGACCGCAGGATCAGGCCACGTCTTCACCGGTCTCCTCCAGTGAGGCACCTCAATGTCGGCCGCGTTCTCTTCGACCATCCGATCACCATCCTCGTCATCAGGCTTAATATCCAAATGCCCTACCAACATCGGATCCCACCGATGATACTCAAAGGCCAATTCGACCAGTTGCGAATCATGATACACATCCAAGGGAACCGACTCAGTACTCGAGGAACTTGCTACCGCTTTACCCTTTCCCTTCAATGCCATCGCACAATAGAACAAAACGCAAAAGAAATAAAGGCAGAATTAAAGAAGGAACTTACCAAAAAAATCCACAAACACACAGTGCGCAGGAAACGACTCTCGAACTCACAGGAATTTCAACAACAATGTTACTGGATGCAAAAGCTCAAGAATTGAAACAAAAGTGAAGAAAAGTTTATCAGAAATCTCAAAGCCCTATTTATGGCCCTAATTTTAGACCGTTAACCTTCCCTATAGACGGCACGTGTAATCGACACGACCTTTCTTCCCCAAACGGCGCAACCAAGTAACTATTATTTTATGAAAGTAGCCGTTACTGTAATTAAGGCCATTACGACGCGACCCTTCACTTTTTATCTTTACTGCGTTTCACCGTTACGTCTGTTCAAGCCTCCTTCATAACTGTCCGTGATGTACCCAAATTTGAAGTGTTTCCACCTCGGACTACAATCTTCACTTCGGAACAAGCAACTCACTTCGGTTACCTCGGTCACGTCGGGATACCGAAGACGACGAACACTCAGCCGCTAACTTCGTACCGATTCGAAGCCTCTAGATGTTTGGCAATATCGATGATCATCACTCCGTATGCCCACCGATATTGGGGGCCTCTCTGTTATCATCCGACTCGGTAAATCGTAATTAAAGGCCCAAAACAGCACCATAAGCGAATTTGATTCAGACATTACCATGGCATAAAGTCATCCTGGTTCGCGCAATAGACCGATACGACTCATTCGACTCAAGAAGACCGAAATGACTCATCCTCCGCCGAAGTCATCCCAAACCGAGGTCAACATAAACTGAGGTCGTCACCTCCTAAAGCAGGTGACGAGGCGCCTACGCACCCCTATCACGATCTACGAGATTTGTCATCATTCATGTGGGACCCACTGTTCCAACCACCCACCGAAAATTACTTTATGTTGAAAATAATACACGGATCCCAATATGTGTATAAAAAAGGTTACTATAAATAGTGAGCCACTGAATTTTTGTAGGGGATCCGATTGGGAAATCCAACATTTTGATAATGAAACACGGAGCAGCCCATAAAGGCTTTTCACCTCGGTTCACCTCGGACCGGGGCCATTGTTGAGCTTTTCTTGCGTGATTTACGTTCAAACCACTTGAAATTATCTCATAATCTCCACTTTAAATCGTTGTTAAGAATCATACGACAACAACTCTATTGAAAATTTCCAACGGAAATAATAGTATTGAAATATCCGTTGGAATTGTCGTTGGAATAATTTTTTTTGGAATAGATTTCCATTGGAATTTTATCATTTTATTGTAGTGTGCCCAATAATCAAACTAATAATGTTGTTTACAATTAGGTTTTTAATAACATATGATTTTTTCATACCCGAACATTTTATGAGCATTTTCTGCCCAAAACATTAATTACCTACTATAGATGAAAATAATATAAAATGATCTGAATAAAAATAAATCATTAATTGCATAATTTTCATATAACTCAATTTTCGGTTTGTGTTTGTTTTAGTAACTTCTTAGTTTTATTTAATTACGTTGATAGTGGTTTTGTAGGCAAAGATTATGTAAATAATTATATGTAGTCGATTTTGGAACTCTTATTTATCAAGGATTCTTTTTTATTTTAACAGATTTATTAGAATCATTGATTTGGATTAGCATTAAAAAAAATTATAGTAATATTTAAATTTACATGGCGTCAATTTTGGAATTCTCATTTGTAAGAATTCATTTTTATTTTATCATATTTATTAGAACCAACAATTACAAAATATAAATTTATATTAATATTTAAATATATTTATATTAATACTTAAATATTAAATATATTTTTCATTGTAGCAGATTTTGAGAATAAACGATTTTATATGAGATATATACAAATCTTTTTTTTTTAGATATACACCAATTCCATTTATTGGTATTCTTTTTGTCAATTGTTTTTAAAAGGAAAATTTTCAAAATTTTATATAGTAAATCGATTTTTTGTTTTTGTATAAACAAAATATAAATTTATTGCAAAATTTATATATATATATATATATATATATATATATATATATATATATAGAAATTTACTACCTAAAAAGTTGTTACATATATAACAGGAAAGTTGTCCAATTAAAAATTGTTCAGTTTGAAAATATGTAACAAGTTGTCATACATTCAATTAAAAATTGTTCGGCTTTAAAAAATTAGCCTGAAGTAATGTCTAATCACTAATATTTATATTTTATATCTACTATATATAATCTCTATCATAAAATTAGTGTGATGTAATATTTAATGTTTTGTATTATTCATACATATTTTTGTAGATATACACCAATTCATTTGTCCAACTGTTGTATAAATTATCATATTACAAATAGATCCATCTTAGACTTCAATTTAAGTTCCAGCGCCACCAGTTCCTTCTGATTTTGGGGTTCCATTTAACAGTCATGGTCAGTCTATTTGTATAAAAAATATATAAATATTAGTGAGTGTTATATAGCTAATCAAGTATAATCGATATTAAACTAAACGCTCATTGTCTGATTGCCTAAGTAAATTATCATATTATAAAAAGATACATCTTAGGATTTCATTTAAGTTCTAGAGCACCAGTTTACTTCTAATCTTAGGGTTTCATTTAAGATCAGGGTCAGTCTTTATGTGCGTTGGCATATTATTAAAGAAGTCGGTTATTAGCAACAACCGATTATATGTTGTTGTTTTTACGTGTAAGTGATAGATAAGAGATATGCATTGGCATGTATTTATAAAAATCTTTTTCTGATCACGATCAATTGTATGTTGTTACGCGTGTAAGTAATAGGTCAAGAAGAGTCAAGGTCAACATTTATTGTACGTTGGCATGTTAAGTAATAGATCAAGAAGAGTTAAGGTCAACATTTATTGTACATTGGCATGTTCTTAAAGAAATCGAATTTTCAGTCACAGACAATTATGTTGTTTGTTTCGCGTGTAAGTAATAGAAAAGTGTTGTTAATATTAGTTTGTAGGGACGACGAGTTGCTCAGTTATTGAACAAATAATGTTGTTTATAAGAAAGTTTAAATAATATATTTTTTTACATGAGGAACATTTTATGCTTTGATAATTTTCCTACGAATTATCACTCTTTTATTTATTAATACATTTTAATTTTTAATATTCTCCAAAGTAAATAAAGCCCGTGCATCGCACGGGTTGCATACTAGTCTTCATGAATGAAGAACCATTAAACTCAAGATGAAACTTATGTTTAATTAATCCAAGACTAATTAAACCAATAAGTTTCAACAAACCATAGAATAAAGTTTCAACAAAAAAATAAAATATTACAAATATTTCTTACAGACTATCATAAGCTATACAGGAAATGAATAAAGTCTATCATCTAGCTGTTGTTGCTTTCATCAATGTTGGTATCTTCTAGAATGTTGCAATTTAGTGCTGCAGATTTTGAAGTATCTGGTGACTCTAATGATATTTCTTCACTCTTACGAGCCTGAAGTCCTGTATACCGTGCAAGATCAATCCATTGCTGCACATTTAAGAAAAATAAGATATTAGTTGTCTACTAAAATAGCATGTGATAAACATAAACAGACCTCTTTTTCATTGGAAATCAAATCTGGTAACATATCAGACAAGTTGTTTGAACATGAATTTGGATTCTGAGATGCAATTTGAACAAATATCATCCCTATTAAGTAACGTAAGTTTGAAATTTAAAAAATCATGATCATTCTATTACATCTTAATGTCTTATCATTGTAACGCCTAATCATAGAAAGAAAAAAAAAAAGTTGTGCCATGCATAGCCAAACACAAAAGATAAACACTTCCGAAAAGAACAAGTGGTTTCCAACCTGGGTTCCCCAATAAGAGTTTATTGTTCGAGCCACAAAAGATATCAAATTTACAAGCAATTCCTGGTCAATCTGTTCTGAAATCCGGTGCTCCACTATTCCAGCAATAACCTGAACAAATAAAGGGGAATGCAATATATTCATTATGCACTTGAAGAGAAGTAATCAGATGCTTTCGGTTGCAAATAAAAGAGAATTTTTGTTCTTAATTTCCACATTCTGTTTCAGTATTTTCCTCAGTATATTGAACAACGGTAACTCATACCGAGTTAAGCCGTATTATTACAGAAGAAAAACATTGGTTATCTGGCATAATTAAATATGCCATTTCCACATCGTACAAATGATAAATTATGACTTCCACACTGATATAGAAGTGATAAAGATGACATGCGGGACAAAAGAAAACGTGAATCTAAGGGAGGAAGTATTGTGACAAGTCTTAAGAAATAGTACCTCATCGTAACAATAAAATGATAGAAAGAATGATACCATAATTTGCTTCATGAAAAATCACAAAATATTCGTTTTCATTTCCGCACAAGAAAGGAAATGTTTAAGTGCCGGGAAACTGAAAATGTCTGACGAACCTGATAGCGCAGATTTGCTGATGTTCCAAGAAAGGTGCTATAAACAAAGGCTGTTTTCAGTATAGGCGATCGTTTATTCAATTGCTTCATGTTTGGATTAAGAAATTTCCGAAGGGTGTTGAGAATATTAGATGAAGCCACAGCCCCAATGCTAGATATGAATCCAACACTTGCCAGTTTGAAACCACCAACAAGCACTGATGCGATTCTATGATTGACATTCCAGTCTTTCCCTGCAAGATTTTTCTGGAATGCATTGTCTGGAATGGATCCCAAAAGGCATTTGACCGCTTCCAAGCTGTCAGGGGCATTAACATCATTAACAGTCGGGAGGAAAGACAACGTCGGGGCCGGAAGCCACACGGTGAAGAAGTCGACAACTATTCCTCTTAATGTATCTGTTGCAACATAATCGAGCTCTTCGAAGAAATTCTCTTTCCGCCTCTCATACTGAGCTAAGAGGGTAGTTGTAATTGATATAGCCTCTTCTATAGCCAATCTATTGAGAAATTTAGGATCTGCCAGTAACCTTTCCCTGAAACCCTGGGCAACAGAATTCACATGATGAACATCAAAACTTTCTTAGTTACAAACAGACAAGGATCATCTACAAACAGAGTACCTGGAAACGGTGAGTCAATTCGGATATGATGGGATACTGCTCCAAATCAAAGAAATTCTGTAATACTTCTGGTGATACAAGACCGAGATCTAGTCCAGTCTGAATGTCCTGATATACATACTATAAATTTGTCAGAGCAATATCAACTGAACATGTAAGATGGATGATGAATATCTTAGCACAAGTTCCAAGACTTGTACGATGCAAATAAAGAAATGAGTAGTTTGAATCCTTAGATGTAAACCAATTATGTGAAGAAACTGTATAAAAGTAAAAGGCATCAACATATGAATGTTTACTTTATTAATTCATTTCAAGCCATTACAAAGTAGTTTAGTTGCAATATTGAAGGACAGAGGCTTTCAAGGATCGGGTAATGCCTACTGCACTTGAACACCCCTTTTATGTCTTCGCCAATTAGTTAGAGAAGACAAGAATACTAAGTTTGGAAATAGCAGTTTCCAAAAATTAAAGAATCAATGAGGTCCCGGCATTTGCCAAGAAACAATAACCACCAAATACTCCCAAAAACTTGAGTTATTTTATTAGCAAACCTGTGGTAAAGCTTCTCTCGTTCTTCCTGCTGCATTCATAACTCGAGCAATTTCAGCACGGTCGAAACAGTTTCTACTGCACGGCCTGGCTGCAGAATACCACAAGAAATCTGCTACGGGTACTTCACCCTCCCGCCTTATGTATTGCCTTTCAGGGTCAAGTAATACTACCACTTGATTTTTCTTTTGCATTTTCCTTGAAATTCTTGCAGGCAATCCAGTTCCTCTTGACCCGTAAGTGACATGACTAGCGCCTGTAACTACTACCAGCATGCCTGTCGATCCACCATCCACCAATGCTTGTAAAATGACCTGTGACATCGTGTAGTCCTCAACTGCTTTTGCTTGAATTGAAAGGTATGAAGTTGGACCGTAAGAAGAAGGTTGACTGGTAAAATTTAATTCAATTGATGATCTCCTGGAGATAGAAGGGAATCCAGAGATGAAGCCTGAACCAGCTGGAGGAGCATATTTCCTACGATCAGCTTTTGAGAGCCCATGAACTCCTTCAGCTTGAACTGTGCGTAGGACCTATTCAATCAATAAATTGTAGGACTATAGGTTGCCATCTAATTTCCTCACATTGATATGTTATGAACTAAATAATTTATCAAGGTAGAAGAGGGATAAAAAAATTATAACAAGGTAAACCTTCTGAATCCTTGAACAGCAAAGGCAAGTTACTTCTGAAGTCTTTTGCTAATTTGTTGGGGCTTTAGAGATGATTGCGATATTGTTTAAGTGCATTGTAAAAGATATAGAATTTGGAATCTGCACAAGCTGAAACTGTCCCATGACAATATCTTCTGAATAACGATCCTTGTCATTAGACATATGTAAACGGAAGAAAGCACAAATTTTTAGTGAAGTAACTGTCCCAGAGCATTATGCTCTGCTACAGTAAGTTTACATAATCCTATAGGACAGAACTGAGACAGGTAAACTTCACATCTAAATGTGGTGGTCAGTACCTCAAGTGGGACACCACATGCAACCAATCGTATCCCAAAATCGCGGCAGTAAGTTAATAGAGGCTCATACTCTTGCCAGCGCTGAGATGACCAATATGTTACACAAGACTTGAGTGCCTCTCCGTCGATCCTTCAATCAGTTAATAAATTTTCAATAAGAGAACAGGTAGATGGAGGTATCTCCCCTAAAACCTAAATTTAGTCCACGTGACAAAAATCGAAGTTGGAACATGAACTGCACATCATGACATACAGAAATGTCAAGAGTACTGAACAACACATCAATTCGGAGAACTAATCATTTGATTTTGCATTAAAAGAAAAAGAAACATAAACCATCCAATTTAGGACACACGTATCAATACATGAGGATTGAATCTAATATCAACTGAAACAGGAGATCAACAATATTCCAAACCAAAAAAAAAAAAAAAAAGAGCATACATTAAACCATCCAAGAAACTTGTTATTAAACTTGCAGAGAGAAATTTTACCTTCTATCCATAAACCGGTTAAGCTGTTCCTGCAAATCACAGGGAAATGCCTCCATAGCCAAAGACAAGTGCCGCTTAGCGTTCACACATCTCTTCCTCAAATTCCTCACAATCTCAAGCTCCAAATCTTTATCATCTGGAATAGGAACCTGCTCTGCCTCCCCTAAGTACACAATCCGCGCATCCATCATCTTCTCCCAAACCTTACTTTTGTCCTTCCCCAGCGCCATCGGCTCTCCTATCGCCGTGGCGTCATAGATCCTCGAATTTACCACCTCCTCCTTGGCCGCCTCTGGCGATTCCGCCGCGCCATCAGAACTCAGAGCTGACTGCTCAGGAGCTTGACGAGCCTCCATATGGCTTTCCGTCTCCGGTCGCTCCTCCGCCCTGGCCACCGCCGATCGGAGAGCGTATGCTCCGGCGGCAATGAATGGAGTAATAAGCACATCCCGCCGCTTCGTTAGACGCGTCTCGCGGGAGTGTTCCGGAGAACGCTGGCAGAAGATCGGAAGGCTGAAGTGGCGGCGGCAGTCACCGCAAGTTTTACTGGCAGTTATATATAAACACGGTGGTTTTACGCATAGAGCGCGAGGCTCCATTAATTTTCTTTTCTTATGGCTTTTTCTAATCCCGGTAGAGTTGGTGCCGCTACGCCATTTTTTAGCTAGCAAGCTAGCAGGAGGACAACAACCAGAGAGAGAAGTAGTAATTTCATTTTCGGCGTCGAAAATTAATTTCAATGGGAGATTTTATGAACTGATCTTATGGTGGATTTAAAAGTAGTCTGGTTTTATTTTAATGGATGAAAACGGAAGCAGGGCCTCTGGAGTGGCCACACAAACTGCAGATATATGCTGTGAGATTATGAGCCCTTGGATTAAACTCAAAACTTCTTATATTGTTTTCTGAATAATTGTGGCCTACAATAGAAACTAGTAAATAAATTTTGAGTTAGGATAAAACTTAGGGTTATGCGGAGTTATGGGGCTCTTTAGGGTCTTAGCTTGGCGTGGGATTTGGAGTTTCGGCAAGTGGATGCATGAGTCGATAATGCAAGTGTTGTAGGGTTTAATGAATTGTTGGATGAAGTACCGGGGGTGCATGCGGGCTTGATTTTGGGTATCCAGGACTTATTGAATCGTTCTTGGACGGTCTAGGCGAAACATCTATACTGCGAAGCGAATTTGCGGCTGATATAGCCACAGCTAGTACTGCCGGCTCGACCGGTAGTATCTGATATAGCATGTCGTACCCGACCGGTTTTTGTGGATATATATTGAAAAATACGCTTATACATGGGCTAAGACACTTGATATGATAATATGGGCCGAGCCCAACCTAGGCCAGGCCCAACATGGACTATAAGGTACACTCCCCCTATAAAAAGGGGGAGGAGGTACTCATTTCCGCTCATTCTCTATTCATTCTCTACACCTCCCTACTCTTGTTTGTATAATTTTGGGTATTTGGTAATCGAGCTACCCGACCTCGAGTCGTTCTCAAAGGAAGACTGTTCGGAGCGTCGTTTACTATTTAGTCGTCAATTTCACAAGACCAAAAAAATAAAAAAAATAAATTCCTAAACATTCTAATCAAAGGATTGTTGGGATTATTTATAAATACGCTAATAAAATAGACAAAGCAAATTGAAATATTATCACTACAAACCTCTAGCCTCCGAACCGGATCACTAAGATTACTAAAATGAGACCGAACAACCTTAACTTCCGAAAACGGATCGCTAAGGAT